GAGCGCGCGCGCGTGTGTGGGGAGCGGCAACGGCTCCGGTGCCGCCGGGGGAGGGGGGAAGGAAGCGGCCTCGGTGCCAGGGTCCTGCGGAGACGGCTCTCGGCGTCTGTGTGGTGCCTCTGCTGACCCTTACGGTCGCTTAGCGGGCGTGTGGTGGTGCGCGTGTCAAACCTGATGCTCTTTGGTTTAACGGGTACAGGTAAATCGGTCGCGTGAAAACGGAAGAGAAAAAAGCTCCGTCAGTTTCCCTTAACGGGGAATGCCTAGTGCCGGCCTCGTGCCTAGTACGTTGTGAATCACATCGTTAATCAATTCACAGTCTAGTTACTGCGTGTTTCCGATGAAGCACGCTGTGGGGTTTTTCCCTGCATTTTTCTGTAGTTAGGGCAGCATTAGAAACTTTGGGGTGGGGTTTCTTTGAAAACAGAAGTTGAAATGGGAAGTCTTAAGGTGACAGAGATGCTTTGTTTTTACAAAAATACTAAGGCTTATGGGTGACGTGTGTGATGGGATGGATTTATGCTGACCAAATGTAATGGGACAGTTTCTTTCCAATGTCCCATAGGAAACTTTTTTAGCCTGGTGTGTGCAAGGCACTGTCTTGCACTTACCTCTGAATCTCAGCTTCAATTTTTTTGTGTTAAAAGAAAGTAAAGTCACTTTGAAAGTCTAACCCAATCCACTTGTGTATCTTCATTTATAGCTTTCAGCCAGAGGTCAACGTCTTACTGTATTTGTTCTTTGAACATGATGCATTTTGGCTGGGGCCTGTTTTCAGCACTGCAATACAAATAGTGACCACTTGTTGCAATTACTGAAGCGCAGTCCTTTACAGTTACTATTTATTTGATAAAAGGTTTCAGTTTACTGCTAAAAACTTCAATTTACTGTTTTTGAATTGAATTGTTAGTTAAGTTTTCCTGAGACACCACTTAATTTCTTTCCTTGACGCTGTTTAAGTGAAATGCTGTTTTAATAAATGAAGCTGTATTATTAAAAAAAGAACTTTTCCTTGCTCTTAGTTGCTGTCACTTATAGCTGTCATAAGCTTCAGATAAAGACAAAATGCCCTCTAGAGGGAGATCTTGATGCTTTTATGTGCTAAAATGTTAGTCACCTTGTTCCAGTTAAATGTCTTGATCACTTGTCTTGGAAAGGATCTGTGATGATGAATATGTATGTCTTAACAGGAACCTGTCTTCCAGATCTGTGCTTGGAAATTTCGTTACAGAATACAGACCATAGCCTGTAATGTAATACTTCTGTAGGTTAAAAGAAACATGCTTGTTTTAATTCAGATAGATTTAATTCTGAAGTTAAATGAGTAATCTTTACAAGTTCCAGTGTAGTACTCCTGCAGTAGTAGTTGTAGGACCTACATTTGTGGCATCAATTCTGCAAATGTTTACGTAGATACCGACTTTCATACAGCATTCTCAGTTTAATCAAGACGCTTTTGGGGGCAGCTTCTTCACTGACCTAAACCAAGAATTTCAGCAGCTGATCTGAAAGTGTTGTGGGTTAAGTCACTTTAGCATGATGAGTGCTAACAGCTGGTCAAGGAAACAAAGCAGAAATAAAATGTCCCATTTAATCAATCTTAGCAATTGAAGGATAGCAGTACTTTTTCACTAGAAACAGCAGAGGTTGAAAGATTATTTTTGCAGACGCATCAATTGTTTGAATGTAGTCAACCCTATACTCCACATGGTCTGTCCAAATTTTGGAAGAAGCTTGGTGGGATTGTTATGGTGGTGAGTTATTCAGCATGTTACATATGCAGTCTCAGCATGAGATTCCTTTCTCACAGACACTTTGAAAAAGTGTTCCACAGTAAACAAGTGCTCTTATTTTTCTGTAAGTAAATGCAAACAGTGAATTCAGCGTAGCTTCTGGCATAAACCTGTTCTGTAAAACTAAAGGCTGTGTGGAACTTGCTCTGTGGATATAGCTGGAAAATTTCCTCATACTGCAAGACTGCTAAATGGGTCAAAAATGTATTTACTTTTTTAGTTGCCAGTTTAACCCCTTCATAGTTATTTCAAGTCATCTGTACTGTTAAGAAATAGGTATTGTTAGACTGACTCCAAAATAGTTGTAGTATTTGTATTCTTACAAATGTACATACCAAAACACTGCATAATTAATTACCCTCTTTTATGTGTGTGTGGGGGGGGAAGTGCTACTGCAAGTAAGGTTAAAGTGATTTGCAGTACTTATGTCACAAGTTTGTTTTCCGTTTCATGCTCATTTTCATTGTTTTGTGGTATGCAAATGCATCTCTGCAATGCATTAAAAATGTATGCAAAGTGTTTGGAGGCAAATGGTGTTGCATAATTGAATGTACAGATGTGTTATAATAGAGGAATAAATTCAATTAATAAACAGGAATAAAAGTTACGGATTTTTTTTTTTTTTTTAAGAAAAGCATATTTATATCCTTAAGTTACTCAGATTGTAGACTCTGTAATAAATTGTGCTCTGAATAATCAATTCTTTATTGTAGATCATCATTTTGGAGGATTCCAGCACTGAGATTTCTGGAGTCTGCTGTGCCTAGACATAATGAGTTCATCACTGGTTGCTTATGATGATTCAGACTCTGAGGCAGAAGCTGAAAAGGCTGAAGTCCCCAATACTTCCAGCAGACAAAAAAGCCTTCCAAGTTCTTCTGTGGATCATGTTCAGTACTCTGCACCTGGTAGTTTGGGTACAAAATCTACATATGAAATGCAGCCTCCTGAGAACACTGACAGTTCTGGCACAGGCACTGTTTGTGAAGATCCCCCTGAGCATTATGCACAGAATAATAACACTGATTTGACATCTCCTTGTAGGAGAGCATACTCTGGCCATACTGCATTATGTATGTCCTACAAAAACTATGAACAGACATCAAGCTCTTCAACAAACTCTGGAAATGGCGTTTCCCAGAAGAGAACACATAAAGACAGTACTACTGCCATAAAAGGAATTAGACCATATATCCCTAAAAGATTGCGTCAAGACAATTCTAGTATGCCTGAAAGAAAAGAATCTGATCAGAGAGATAGCTCAGATTGTGATGTTAAGGTAGGCATATCAGGAGAGCAGACTTCGAGAAAGGTCTCTGAATTAATTAAGCCATATTTGGGATCCAAAT